GCCCGGGGCTTCTACCGGCTTCTCCGCGCCAGGACTTGCCCGGCGGCACCTCGGGAGACCCCCGGCTCGCACGGAGGCTTCCCGGATCCACGGAGGAACCCACGTACATTTTCCACCTTCCTCGCGCTCCTCGGCGCCGTGTCTGAACCCCGCAGGGCGCCCAGCCGTGCCCGTTTGCCGAGCGGCTCTCCCTGATCTTCCCGCATTCCCCGGAGCCCCCAAAGGATGTGAACTTTGGAATGGGGTCTCTGAGCAGCTGCAGACTCGGTGCACGTGTGAGACTGTTGCTGCACGACAGCAGGACTGCCTAGGCGCTGCCTTCCGCTGCGGCCGCGGGTGGCAGGGCCCAGCCTTGCCCGGCCCTTCACCATGTTCCTCCTGCTCCCTTTTGACAGCCTGGTCGTTAACCTGCTGGGCATTTCCTTAACTGTCCTCTTCACTCTGCTCCTGGTTTTCATCATTGTGCCAGCCATTTTTGGAGTCTCCTTCGGCATCCGCAAGGTTTACATGAAAACGTTGCTAAAGATTTTCCAGGTAAGTCGCGTTGGCCGAATTTGCAAGGAGAAGGTTGGCTTGGAGGTGGCACCTGGAGGTGCCAGCGATGGCTGGTGGCCCACGCAGGCACCTCAGCCTGGTGCAGCCCTCTGCTCAGGGGCCGTTTTGCCCCCGTTGTTAGTAAATCTGCAAGGATTTTCAATAGCTCTGTTGCAAGAAAGCGGCTGCTTGGATGGGTCGATGTCCCGGGCAAAGCAGAGAGTTGCAGCTGGATAGGGAAGGAAGCCCAGGGTGTGGATGGGCCGCGCTCCGAGGGCTGCTTATCTTGGAGACCCGTCTGGAAGAAGCAGAAGCAGCAGCCCCGGCGATGCGGGGCCAGGAGCAGAGCTCTCCATGCCTGTTTTTATCCCTGAGCTCCCTGCCGAGTCCGGCAGCCCTCTCGGCCCGGGAAAACCAAGTGGAATTTTCCAGGTCGGGCTCACACTGTTCTCCCAGTTTGCTGGGCTGTTCCCAGCCGGCACCTTTCCTGGCTCAAGTCCCTGGGGAGACCAGAACTTTAGCCAAAGGCCCAAGAAATGGGACTCTGCCAGCCCACCCTGACAGCCCAAGGAAAAGGAAAGTTTAAGACCTACCCTGTGCTTTATAGGGAAGTTTCACGTTCCTTAATAGGAAAGTTTCACGTTCCTAGATGTAGAATTTAAGGTACTAAAGGATTTGTGGTGCAGATGCTGTTGTCAGAACAGGTCTGGACTTCCCTGTGAGAGCTCCCAGTGTTCGGGTCTTTCTGGTTCCTCCCGAAAACGTGAGCTGTGAATGGAAACACATGGGGCTTAGTGAGGTGCTTCATTAACGTGGTTTAGTGGCTGACGTGGAAGAAAAGTTCTAATTGTCCAGTTTAATGGTTCAAAATTGCATTTTGGGGGAAGAGCAGCAGTGGCAGCCGTTACCTGAATCAGGGAGAGGAAAGATCCCATCTCCTCGTGGGATCGTCTTTTAGTGGCAGCCTGAAAACAGCCTTTGGTAGGAGCTTGGAAGAAATGCGAGCTGCAAAGCAGTGCCAGCCCCATGATCTTCCTGCGCTGTGATGCTGCCAGCGGGACACACGCAGGTGACAAGGTCCATCTGGGCACTCCAGTGCCACCCGCATTCCAGGCGCAGCCGAGCCTAGAGGACACGGAGGAGCAGGACGTGCCGCTGTGCCGTCTCCTCCGGATCTGCCTGGGGTTTCTCCCCTCCGGGGCTCTGCCGTGCAGCACAGGACACACATGGGTGCCCACCGGGGCTTTCCTGGCCACCATCTGTCCCCTGTGTGACCGTCACCAGCCCCTGCTGCTCAAACCGCTTCCCAGCCCCATCCCTGCTCCCGCGTTACTCAGTTCTCGGTCCCTCCCGCGCTCTTTTTCCGGAGGCGCCGGAGCCGTGCTCCCGCTGGAAGCTGGAGCGGAGGCTGCGGGTTCCCGGGGTGCCGCTGACCCACGCGCGTCTCTTGCAGTGGGCGACGCTGAGGATAGAGCGCGGCGCCAAGGAGAAGAACCACCCGCTCTACAAGCCCTACGTCAACGGTGAGAGCCGGCCCTGGGTGCGTGCGGAGCCCAGGAGGCCTCACGGGAGATGGGAACAGGGAATTCCTTCCCTCGGGATTGGTGGGGGGTCTGGTTTGTACCTCCCTAGGCATGGGAGATACATGGATGGGCATGGAGAAAGGGAGGGGGCCCTGTGGGGACAAGGGGCCAGGCTTGTAGCTGCCTCTGGAGACAAGTCACCGAGCTGGGAGCTCTCTTGCAGGGATCATTGCAAAGGAGCCCACGTCGCTGGAAGAGGAGATCAAGGAGATCCGCCGGAGCGGCAGCGGCAAAGCCCTGGATGCTCCCGAGTTCGAGCTCTCCGATATCTTCTACTTCTGCCGCAAAGGCATCGAGACCATCATGGACGACGAAGTGACCAAGAGGTTTTCGGCGGAAGAGCTGGAGTCCTGGAACCTCCTTAGCAGGACCAACTACAACTTCCAGTACATCAGCCTGCGCCTCACGGTGCTCTGGGGCCTGGGCATGCTCATCCGCTACTGCTTCCTGCTGCCCCTCAGGTGAGTGTGGAGGGAAGAGCTGCTCCCCGGGCACCCCGGCCTCTGCTCAGCACCATCGAACACTTCTTGGTGGTGGCCAGTGACAGGACAAGGGGTAACAGGTGTAAGTAGAAACCCAGGCAGTTCCATCTCCACGTGAGGAAGAACTTCACTGTGAGGGTGACAGAGCCCTGTGGAGTCTCCTTTTCTGGAGATCTTCAAACCTGCCTGGATGCCACCCTGTGCCCCGTGCTCCAGGTGTCCCTGCTGAGCAGGGGGCTGGTCTAGATGATCCCTAGAGGTCCCTTCCAACCCCAACCATTCTGGGATTCGGTGTGATCAGGCTGCTGCATCCGCAGGGCCTGTGGCCTGGCTTTGCCAGCGTGTGACTTGGCTCTCTCTGCAGGATAGCCCTGGCCTTTACTGGCATCAGCTTGTTGGTGACCGGTACCACAGTGGTGGGATATTTGCCAAATGGAAGGTGAGTTGGTCTTTGAGGGAAAAGGCCCAAGTTTGATTCTCTTACGGGTCGGTGCTCGCAAGCTGACAGCAAAACCCAGCACGGGAGGTGTTTGCATGAGGCGAGGTGAAATCCAAGCTGGATCTTGCTGCTCTGAGCGCCCAGCGTGATCTCTGTCCTGCAGGTGCAAGGAGTTCCTGAGCAGACACGTCCACCTCATGTGCTACCGCATCTGCGTGCGCGCCCTCACCGCCATCATCACCTACCACGACCGGTAAGGCCACGTTCCCATCGGATGCTCCGTGCTGTGCCGCCCGCCGGCCTCGCGCTCTGCGTGGCCAACCACACGTCCCCCATCGACGTGATCATCCTGGCCAGCGATGGCTACTACGCCATGGTGAGCCCCGCGCGCGCCCGCCCGCGCCGCGGCCCCGGCGCCCGTGACCCGCTGCTCCTCGCCCTCTCCAGGTGGGCCAGATCCACGGAGGCCTCATGGGCGTCATCCAGAGAGCCATGGTCAAGGCCTGTCCCCACGTCTGGTTCGAGCGCTCCGAAGTCAAGGATCGTCACCTCGTCGCCAAAAGGTGCCGCAGGGGAGGGCTGGGAGCCGGGGTGAGGAAACCGCCTCCCCTCGTGGCTGCTGGGGGCTTTGGGCACTGTCCCGTGTGCCCAGGCGGTCCCCAGGGGCCGCAGGGTGCCCTGAGCACTGCTCATCAGCAGCTCTCTTCGCTCCAGGCTGACAGAGCACGTCCAGGACAAGAGCAAACTGCCCATCTTGATCTTCCCCGAAGGTGAGTTGTGGAGCCCCCGGGGGAAAGGGCACGTGGAGGCAGCTCCTGCTCTCCATTACTGCCCTTCTTGTGCAGCCCCTTCCCGAGGCAGGGGCCATGGTGTGTTTTAAGAGCTCGTTGTGTAGCTCCAACTCGAACTGCCTTGGAAAGGGAAGTTGAGGGGATGGCGCTCACCTCTTGCAGGCACCTGCATCAACAACACGTCCGTGATGATGTTCAAGAAGGGAAGCTTCGAGATCGGAGCCACCGTTTATCCCGTAGCCATTAAGGTAGGAGAAGGCAAATATTCCCAGGGCACGAGCAGCCCTCTGCTGCGTGCGAGCGCAATTCCCGCATTCCACGAGCTCTCCCGTCTCCGCAGTACGACCCGCAGTTCGGAGACGCCTTTTGGAACAGCAGCAAGTACGGCATGGTCACCTACCTCCTGCGCATGATGACCAGCTGGGCCATCGTTTGCAGCGTCTGGTACCTGCCCCCGATGACCCGGCAGGTGAGGAGGCGGGAATGGGCCCCGGAGCTGCTCCCTCTTCCCGCTTTGCTCCGGCTCCTCTTTCCCGCAGCCCGAGGAGGACGCCGTGCAGTTTGCCAACCGCGTGAAGTCGGCCATCGCCAGGCAGGGAGGCCTCGTGGATCTGCTCTGGTGGGTCCCTTCCTCCTCGGTCCTGGCTCCCAGCGGGTGCTGCTTTGCTGCGGTGCAAAGTTTGGCTCTCGGGCAGACTAAACTGGTGGGGAGGCAGAGATAGATCTTTCCTCCAAGCTCCACTGGAGTGGAGTCCACTCTCCTCTGGAGTTAGGACCAAATTTTTGGCTTCTGTCGTGTGTTTTGGGCACCAGGGCCTCGTTCTGTGCCCCCAGCTTGCAGCGGGGTGCCGAGGCCGGGAAGCAGCGGCGCGGGGGGGGGGTTTTGCTCTTGTGACCACAAAGCTCTTTCCCCAGGGACGGAGGCCTGAAGAGGGAGAAGGTGAAGGACACGTTCAAGGAGGAACAACAGAAACTCTACAGCAAAATGATTGTAGGCAACCACGAAGACCGGAGCCGCTCGTGAGCCGGCAGCAGCCCCGCGCCGGGGCCGCATCCGGAGCGGCTCCTCGGACTGTGGCTACTCCGGAGCCGCTCGGACTCGCTCCTCCGTCCTCTGGCTTTTGTCCCTGGAGGCACTTTTGCTGCCTGGGGGCCTTCAGGGGCCCTGGGCAGCTCTTGGCAAATTTGCCTTCTTGTTACTGTTACAGTGAAGCCTCTTGCAGGGGCAATATTAAATGAAACACTTCTGGTGTCGGCTGCTGCGTACGGTGTTTGCGCGCCCGGGATAGGGCTCGTGTGCGGATCCGGTGTGCGGGAGAAGCCAGGGAGCCTTCCCGAGCCTGCGCCTCTCGCGTCGGCGGCGTAAAACCCTCGGGAACGGGACGCGGCCCTTTCCAGCATCACTTCCACGGGGAAAAATCCTCCCTCTTCTGCCGTCGTCCTGTCCTGTCTTGACCTAACCCATTGCTTCTCCAGCAGCTCAGTGACAGCCTCTTCCTGGAGACGCTCAAGCAAGGGGGGATCAATCTCCTTGGAAGCCTTCCCATCCCCTGGAATTGCAGCATGCCGGGCTCTTCCCAGTGGCGTGCAGGAGCCCAGGGCAGGTGGTGACCCGGATTCCCCATTTACCCTGGTGCTCTCGCCCCCTCTTACCCTCCTGTTAGGGTTTCTGCTGGCCCTGCTGCAAACGCTGTTCCCTGTTGTGTCACCTGCACGAGGAGGAGGCAACGCATTAAACGTAGCAGAAACATCTGCTACTGCTCAGGTTAGGACCACTCGTCTGCTTAAGGAACTTTAAATGCACAAGAGCCAAGGTAGTCTCCCTCCTGCTTGTCTTTAATTCCAATTTTAATTTTCCTACAGCAAAAGAGAGGCCAAAACCTTGCCGTAACCTCCATTTACTAGTTACCTTGTATTTTGTGCCATTACTGTGCTATGTCAAATAGAGGTTTTAGTATTATTTAATGTTCTCTTGGTTTGTTTTAGTTTTGGAGTTACAAAATAATAACAAAAACTGTTAGACATAGCACAGTAATCGAAGCGATCTGTTAAAGCGCAATTCTGGGGAATATTTCCATATTTCATCGATTCCCTTTCGCTCCTTGCGTGCGCCCGCGGAGCCGCGTTGGCTACGCAAACACCGCGGCTCCGCTCCCACCGTCACCGTCAACATCCAGCCGGGAGAAACCGGAGCCGCCGCGAAATCGCTGCCGTCAGATCCCAGTTTCCCATTACCGCCCTCGCTCCGGTCGCCGATCCGGGGCAGGAATCAGCCCGGCTGCTCCGGGGCAGTGGATACCGGGCGGATGAGGATGCAACATCCATCTCGCCTCCGTCCCCCTCCCGGTCAATACATCTCTCTCCGATGGGAAAGTTAATAAATTTCGCTCTAGATTAAAAGTATCGATCATTTCATTTGTAAGCGATAAAAACCCGGGGGGGGCGCCGGCAGCGGCCGCCCGGCCGCCCGCGGGGGCCGGGGGCTCTCATATGCATTCAGCCCGGCTGCCGGCATCGATTTGCTATTAGTCTCCTCGCACCACCCAGGAGCACATCATTCCCCGGGCCGCTATTAATGGCCTTTTGATAAATAATCACTTGTAAGTCAATAAATTTTTATTAAACAGCGTGGCGCTTTGATTTATGAAAATCCGACGGGGTTTGTCTGGGGGAGAAGCGATGTGGAATTGAAGCGGGGCTGCCATCCATCTGCCTGCCAGGCCGGCCCCGCTGCTGCCGATCGGACCGGCCCGGTTCCCGCGGCCGCGAGGAGGCAGCTGCGAGCGCCGGCATGCGCCGAGCACGGGTGCAGTGCAAGGACACAGGGTGCAAGGGTGCGCGGTGCAGGCGGTCAGGGTGCACGTGCAAGGTGCATGGTGCAAGGTTTCCTGGTGCAAGGGTGTGCGGTGCATGTTGCATGTGGTCAGGGCGCACGTGCAAGGTGCACGGTGCAAGGTTTCCTGGTGCAAGGGTGCACGGTGCAAGTTGCATGCTGCGAGGTTGCACGGTGCAAGGGTGCTTGTTGCATGTGGCAAGGGTAAACAGTGCAAGGACACACAGTGCAAGGGTGTGCAGTGCAAGGCTGCAAGGTGCACCGTGCAAGGGGGTACCTTGCAAGGGTTCTTGGTGCAAGGTGCATGTTGCAGGAGGACATGGTGCAAGAGTGCAGTGCAAGGGTGCACAACCCAAGGTGTGTGTTGCACGGGTGAACAGTGCAAGATTTCACTGTACAAGGTGCACGGGGCAAGGGTGTGCAGTGCAGGTGTGCACGGTGCAAGGTGCTTGGTGCAAGGTGCATGTTGCAAAGCACGCAGTGCAAAGGTGCTTGGTGCAAGGGTGCTCGGTGCAGGGGTGCGCGATGCCCCACGCTCTCCCCGTGCTCCAGCCCCAGTTCTGCCGCTCCGGGATCTCCGCTCTCCTGCAGGAGCGGAGCGGGCAGAGCTGGCGGCCCGGCCGCAGCTGCGATTTGTCACTCTGGGGCTGCCACGGGCCCTTTGCCACCTGCTTTATTTGTCTCCCGGCCCTGACGTGGCATCGGACAGGTGTTAAACTACTTAATCACTTTAAAATTGTTTTAATTTTCTGTTTTGTATTGATCGCCACCGCGCCAATTAATCAGCTCACTGGACCAGGCGGTTAGTACATTAAAAATTGTCAGCGGCGCCGGGCAGCGGAGAAAATGTCAAAAAAAATATCCCGGCGGCAGCTCGGCCCTTCTCCCGCGGCGCCGCCAACCGCGGGGTCTGGCACCGCGCGGCCACCGCTCTGCCCTCCCCGGGATTTGTCCCTTGGGAGTGGAGCTGCAGGCGCGTTACCCCTATGGGATTCCCGGCGCTGGGAAGCCTGGCACGGCCTGCTCCAACCCGGCTCCGACCAGGCTCACTCGGCCCCGACCAGGCTCCCTCCGATCCGGCGCCGCGGGCAGCCCCAAGGCCCCATTCCCGGGCGCAAACATTGGCGCTATGGAGGCGGCATCAATCGCGCGGCCCCGACAGGTGAATGGGCCGCCAAGATAAATGATATTTATTCGCCGCTAATCGGTTCCTGCGGGAGGCCCCGACGAGGGACTTTGGAAGCGGGA